AACCAAAGCTGGTCTGGACAGCGTCAGGCTCAACCTGATCAAAGGCGTCGGCGACGCGCTTCTGGAGCGCAGGGCTTGGGATAAGCCAGGGCATACCGTTATGCCATCTACTGCACTACCTGGCAAGTTCAACGAAGGAACCGAATGCGACCTGATGTTCTACAAGCAGGAACCTAATATATTTCACATCATTGATCGCTGCATTCGATATGCTACTGGAATGGAAATGCCAGATAACAATGACCAGTCTCCTAGATGCGTGTCAGTTGTGCCGGATGCAGTTCGGACCTGCTCAGGTATTCTACTACGATGGGGATTGTGCCCTCGGACACTGCAATGGCGGTCCTCAAGGTAAAAGGCGCTGAGCTGTGGACGCGCGCGCGTGGGCAACGCGCTACGACAATTGAGGCCAGAAGTGACAGACTACGCCATCTACTTCACGTCATGGAAACTGAACTCAAATGGTTAGATATACCTCTTGTGTTCACACGACTACCGCATGAAACCCTGTTTGCCGCCAACGCAGTCACCTTGCACAACGAGGTGTCTCCATGCAACGCTTTGTTTGGACGGCCACCGGCAATGCTTCCTGAACTGCCCGGTCTGCATCGCGAACGGCCGACAGAGACGTCTGACCATCTCCAAAACAGGTGATGCGCTGGGCATGCACTGCAGCTATCACGCAGGCTACTGCAGTTGCCAAGACCAATCGTGCATTACGTATTAAGACATTGCCGGTCAGCATTACTACGGCGAAGGAGATTCGGTTGAACATCATCGCCCCGGAACTACGAAGGACGACTGGGGAGGCTGAAGTGGCGTTTTCCCGGTTGCGCGGAATGACCCCGACAGGGGTGAAGTCATTGTTCGAGTGGGAAGTCGCGATGTACAAGTCCAATATGGCGACGCACGACACTCGCGCTACGTCGAAGCTTCGCTCGCCCGAGAGATTGGCTCTGACAACGTTGCTTTGCAGACAGTTCTAACATCTGTTGCCAGTCTACCTGCGGGGGGACCTGCTACGGCGTTTGGCGATGTCCCGACCAAAAAGGGAATGCTTCAGATGGCCAGTGCGAGCCGACTATCTCCCAAGGTACATTTAATTCTACAGTACCTTATCAGTAACTCTTTCCGTATCGAGAATGTGGTTTCTGTCAGGTTAGCTAAGAGTATTCACAAGCATCCTCCGGCGGCTTATGCTGACAGCAGCACATTGGTATATTATGGCAACGACGTGAATCCAGGCTTCCACTACTATGAAGCCGAAAACGCAGTGCCCCGACTATGCATGATGTAGCTGGATCAGCACATTCGAGAATCATTCAGTGCCTAAAGTCCACTAAACCTCAAGCGGGCTTCGACCAATCTATGACAGAGTTTGAGGAACTGGCGGACATGCCAACACAAGGCGATAACGCCAGAGAGGCACCAGAAGCTGAACCACCACAGAAGGATTGACGACTTCCCCCGGTATATGAGGAATCGGAAGCCGACCTTGAGGCGCATATTATGGAGGCGCGGCACACAGAATTACGCGAAGAAAGGGAGCTACTGGAGGCAACTCCATCAGATGGCCGTTGCACTGGTAGCTGAAGCACAGCGGGGGCACCTGCCTAAGTGGGTCTACCCACGCGACTCCGACATCGAAGATACGTATCATGTCCCATTATGTTCTACGGTCGAAGACCAGAGTTACGGATTGGACTTGGACAAAAATCGTCAATCTGTGGAACTCTGTTTCACTGAGGAATTGTCCAGGGGGGTCCTATCCGAACAGCAGCATGGGATATTTGATGCCGGCCGTGTAACCACCGCGCGAGTATACGTCACCGCCGCCGCAAAACAAGCTGCGGCGCTCAAGGCAGACGACCTCCTCGCGAAGGCCGACATTCAGGCGCATTTCGAGAAGGCATCACAAGCCTCTATACTGAACTCAAGACATGGTTTGGCAGCAAGTGTTTCAACGTGCGATACATATCTATATATATATATGAAGTGCCAAACAACATGACTTCGAGGCACGCGTGCAAGTTGAACTTCGCGAAGAACGAGAAGGGCGAGATATCGCGCACCATCGGACTGCGCCTGGCACTTCGGGGGTCTATGGGCCTCAGGGCTTTCGACGCGGAAACCTTCTCAGGAACAGCGCGGCGGTCGAGCCGGGGGTTTTGCATGCACGGCAGCGCCCAAGGAGCAATGGGCAGTTTCTCCCTTTGATATCAACGCGATTCTCCTGGAAGGGTTAACCCGCCAGGAACTGGCTGAGGCAACCGGCGAGAAGGAGAGCGTTGCGCGCCTGACCTTGCCGCCTGGATGGGCAACGGCGCGTCGATCCCTTCCGGGATTCGAGCACTACGACGAGTCGAGGCACTGTCTGCAGCGCTCGAAGCACTGCCTGCAGCGCCTCAAGCAAGGCACCGACGCCAAGGATGCACCCGGAGCTTCCTCACTGAAGCGCCGAAGGGCCACGATAGGCGACCAATAATGATGTGAGGTACACAAAGGCCACTGACGGCAATGTTACGCTGGGCCAAGATGAATACATCAAACAGCCACGTCCTATACAACATCTTTAACTTTCCGGCGCAGACGCTGACGCCAAGGCATCCAATATGGTAGCTGACATGTTCGTCAGCCTCAGAGGCGCGTTGGCTTACGCATTAATCACAGGTGCTATTGATGGTATCTGTGCTCTCTCTCTACAACGTGTCCAAGAACCGACCGATATACAAGTGCGACGATTGAACGCGATTACCAGGAAGCTGCAGGCCTGCCCTTAGAATTTCACATTTCAATCGATGACTCCAAAGGGCGAAGTTGACCTGCACAGCGACTCCGGCTATCGACGCCTGAGTGGAGATGCCGATGACGAGGCCCAAGGCTACGGCGCTCGCGGGGCACACTTGCTACGGCGTGGAAACGCGCCATCTTGTAAGCCTGTCCTCCACTTGTTCGATGCGCACTGCAAGTCTCACCGCTCGCAGGTCCGCTCGACCAACTCAGCAGACGCGCTTGCAGCAGTCCACAACTTGGAGGACTACTATCCCACGATCGTGACTCTGCACGAACTCCATTCAGGCCCACGGATACACACTCAGTTGAAAGATCTACTGGAGTTGGGTGGCCTGAGCATTAAGGTCACTCACACCACATATGCTGCATATGTTTCCAAGCCCTTGTCAAGCACAGACCTGAAGAAGCCGACTGGGCCCACTCTTCTGGGACACATCAGTTGGATGCGACAGATGATGGAGCGAGGAATCGCGCATGGCATCCAGTGGTGTGACACTCGCGGCATGACCGCGGACGGTGACACAAAGGGGAGCATTGACATGCATCTGCTCCTACAGGTTATGGGAGGCACGTAATCCTTCAAGCACGATTTAGAACGTCATATGCCCTCTCGGGCTGGCCAGACAACATCGTCGGATTCCCTGAGGCCACCTGGGGAGTAATCGCATGCACAGCAATGTCCTCGCAAGGCAGCTTGCTTGCGGGCTCACTTTCCTCACAGACCCGCCTTTTGTTGTTTTGTGTGTATCTAGCGTTTGCTGTATAGGGGCGGCGGGCTCGCGCTCCGTCTCCCTCCCCCCCGAGTAAAGCGAGCTGGGGCAAGGGCGAGAGATAGCGATCGTTTGCCCGCGGCCGTTTGTGTTCAAGCGGCAGGCCGCCAACATGTATGCGCCTCATTGCAAGGCATGCTACTTGCCATCGAGACCGAAAACATGCTTCGCTTGAGATGGCCCGTCGCTCCCGCGACGACCTCCTCCGAGTGGGACCATCGTTACTACGGTACAGCAGAGCTGGAGCTGCGCTTCGCTTAAGGCGAAGCTGCTGGACGGGCCGACCAGCCCCTTTCAAACTATTTCAGCCCGCCCGGTGGCGCAAGCGCAATCGCAACCGTAACCCGGCGACACTTTTCAACCCGCCTGGTGGAGCAACCGCAACCGCAAGCAAACGACACATTTTAACGCGCACGCGGATGCAACCGCAACCGCAACCGAACGACACATTTCAACGCGCCCGCGGGCGCAACCGCAACCGCAACCGCAACCAGGCGACATGTTTCAGCCCGCCTGCTGGCACAACCGCCCGCCTGCTGGAGCAGGATGCGCTTGAACACGAGGAGGAAACTGCAGAGGCAGAGGAGGACGAAAGGGAACGTCAAGAAGAGGATGGGCAGGACGGCTAGGAGGAAAAAGAGGAGGGCGACGGCGACGATGAGGAAGGAGATGCAGGGGTGGTCGTGGCTAACGCGTTTGCAGGAGCAGGTGCTGGTGGAAGAGGAACGCCAATGGCCATTTATGGCAGAAACATCGAGGGGTTGGAGGAAGGAGGAAGAGGCCGATGATAAGAAGAGGGGAGAAACAACGAGGAGGAGCAGGAGGAGGAGGAGGAGGAGGAAGAGGAGGAAGAGGAGGAGGAGGAGGAGGAGGAGGAGGCGTTGCCAGCGGTTCTCCTCCGGGACATTGCAGCAGGAAATCCCCATTCTACGCTGCTGCCGTTGATTTGGAAAGCAAGAAAACAGAAACCTGGCCAAACAATTGGACGCACGGGGGGCTCGCTGCGCCGGGGGGCATCGATGCTTGCTTCGCACGAAGCGGGAACGTATGAAACAAACCAAAGGATCGGCACACTTGGTGGCGTAGCGCCGTTCTTGCGGCTCCACACGCACACACATACACACACATGCACACGTTTGGGCGTCGCGGCCTCGCGCGCTGTGTCGAGGCGTCAAAGGTCAGGTGGCGGGGCAAGCGCGCGCGCGCGGCCGGTCCACTCAGAAGCCAGGCGCAGGGATCCGCCCGAGGTGACCAAACACACCCAGCAGCTGCGAGCACGGTTTAACGACGCGCACCACGGGGTAGGGGCAGAGGGGAAAGGTTTCTGGGAAGGAGACTCGTTCCTAGAAGGCGCGGAACTTGCCTTCTTCTAAGAGAAGCCTTCCCCCTCTCCTCATGCCGCCCATGTGCACGCCGCCATGCGGTGGCGGATCCAAGTACTACGAAGACAACCCGCAGGACCTGGCCCGGGCCCGCCGCCAGGGGAGGCCGCGGCACGGCACGGCGTTCACGTGGGTCCGGGAGCCCGCGTTGCGCTTCGTGTCCGGTTATTCCGAGATCGAATACTAT